GGATCATGGAGCTGGTGTGGGATCTAGAGGTGTTTCTTTCTGCTGTGCATGGGGTTGCTATGAGTCAGAAGCGACTCAACGGCACCTAACAACAACAAACAACCTGTATGTATATGTATATATATATATGGAAAGAGATAGAGATATCTTGTTGCTAGTTACCATTGGGTCAGCTCCAACTTACAATCATCTTACATACAGCAGAATGAAACATTGCCCAGTCCTGTGCCATCTTCATGATTATTGGTATTTCTGAGTCCATTGTTGCAGCTATTGTGTCAGCCCATGTCATGGAGGGTTTTTCTGACTCTCTACCAGTGATGATGTCCTTTCCTAGTGATTGGAGTGATTTTTCTTTTTTGATGATGTATCCCAAGTAAGTAACCCAGAGTCTCTCTAAGGTACACTTTGGTTGTGTAACTCCTAAGAGTGATTTGTTCATTCTTATGAAAGTTCACACTGTATTCATATTCTTAGCCAATACCACAATTTGAATACATCCATTTTTCTTATGTGTTCCTTTTTTCTTGTGAAGATTTCCCATGCATATGAGGTGATTTAAAAGAGCATGACTTTGGTCAGGCACACCTTAGTCATCACAGTGACATCTTTGTTTTTTAAAACTTTAAGGAAATCTTTTGCCGCATATTTGCCCACTGCTGCTTCCATGGATGTTGATTGTTGATCCCAGTGGAATGAATTCATCAACATATTCAGTTTTTGTTATTGTTATTGTTGTTGGTTGTGGTTGAGTTGATTCTGACTCATAGTGACCCCAAATATGCATAGTAGAGGAACTCCATAGGGTTTTCAAAATTGTGAACTTCTACAGCTATATCACCTGGCCTGCCTTTTGAGGCACTGCTGGGTGTGTTTGAGCTGCCAACCTTTTGGCTAGTAGTTGAGCATTTAAACATCTGAGACACCCCAAAACTTTTGACAACTTCAGTATCTTCTTTTTGTTATGGTATTTTTTGTTTGTCCAGTTGTGGGTATTTTTGTATATTCACATTCAGATGTAATTTATACTGAAGGCTGTAGTCTTTAATCTTCATTATAATATTTCAAGTTGTTTTCACTTTCTGCAAGCAAGGTTGTGTCATCTGCATATTTCAGATTGTTAATGAGTCTTCTTCCAATCCTGATGCCACATTTTTATATGTATAGTCTACTTCTTGGATTATTTGTTCAGCAAAGAGATTGAATAATTAAGTTGAAAGAATATAAACTGCTGCACACATTTTCCAGTTCTGAACTATGCAGTATCCCCTTGTACTGTTAGAACTACTGTTAGAAGACTGTGTTCTTCAACCTTCATCATGCATATTTACTGATCTAAGTACTGTTAGATCAGTAAATATCAGCTTATTTGTTTAAATTGGATGCAGATAAGATTCATGTATATAGTTAGTTGACATGTCTTATAAGTTGCTTTCCTATCCATATTGCTGTCTTTTTGCTTTTATTTATTGCTATTGCTGAAGAAACTGGGTTGTTTTGCTGTGGCATTGTCCACATTCCAGACTTTACTGATTGCATACATCCATGACATAGTTTAACATGTGTCTTTGTCCTCTGTAGTTAGCTGTAGAGGTTTGACTAGCTGTAGAGGTGTGACTAAAATACAGTTTGTTAGTTGACAAGAATGTCCACTAATTACGTATGTTAATCTCACTTCTGCCTGGGCAAGAGTATAAGATTTTATAGGAAGTGGAATTTGAACAATCAAGAATTTTCTGTAAGATAGTGAAAACAAATCTGGGTAGAAGGAGCTAAGTCTGAGAAATTGAATTGAATTTGAGGAAGATGATTCTAGCCTTGGTAGCACATCCCATAAGTCTCAAATCATATAAGGGATCCAATTTTTGAGAACAAACTAGTGGCTTCTCCATGGGAGGTGGGAGAAGCTGAGTATTTTGACCAGAAAAATTGTCTGACATATATTATGTTAGCTTGAAAGATCGTTGTGCACAGACATGATCCCCAAACACGTTTTATACTTTAATGTTGTAGGCACTCAAAAGGTCTTTTTTTAGTTACTTTAATTGATGACATTAGAGCTCCATTTTCACTATGCCTCCAGAGGGAAATATTTCTTTGGAACTGTCTAAGCTGTGGTGGTAGTGTTTATTTCACCCTCTCAAATGTACATACAGTGCCACATTAATAATACCATCATATCTTAGTGCTCGTTCTAGAATTTGAGCATGCCATTCTTCAATTCTGTTGAAACGTTTTCTCAGATTTTTCAGATTGTCACAAGTGTCCACTCTACTGCTTCTTCTTTAGTCAGCCTGAAATTTTAAATTACTCTAAAACCAAACCAAACCACACTCACTGCTGTCAAGTTGATTTGACTCATAGCAACCCTTCCTTGGATTTCTGAGGTGGTATCTCTATGGAAGTAGATTGCCCAATCTTCCTTCCGAGGAGTGGTTGGTGGATTTGAAATTCCAGCCTTCTGGTTAGCAGTCAAATGTCTTAGGCATTAGGCCACCAGAGCTCCCAATGAGGCAGTTACACTGTTACAAGAAAGTTTTCAAATCTGATAGAAATCCAAAGCACCAGGAATTCCTATGGTTGAATATTTTCATATACAATAGTTATTAACTAGCAGAGGGAGAAAGCCTGAGGAAATTTATTCTTTATCTCAGTTTTAAGCCTCAATTTCTTCTCTTTTTATTTTTATTTTTTTTAATATCTGAACTTTCAACCTTTTGAGCACTTAACCATCTTTACCACCCAGGGACTCTAATATGTTCATTAAACGAAAAACAAAGCAAAACAAGACCTGTTGCTGTTAGTTCCCACTCGTGACAACCCCATGTATTACAGAATAGAACTGCCCCATAGGGTTTTCTTGCTGTAATCTTTATGGAAACAGATTGACAGGCCTTTTTTCAAACTGCCAACCTTAAGGTTAGTGGTCAAGTGGAAAA